TTAGTAGTAAATGCATTTTTTCAGAAAGCTTATCATTCTGATAAATGCAAGACAAACTAATTATAAAACAACTCCTATGGCTCCCTCTATTTCCCCTCATAGCTTGTTGCCCTGCCCCCTCCTGTAGCTCTCTGCCCCCTGCTTGTAGTTTGCTGCCCCACCCGCCTGCAGATCTATGATCCCATCATTACACAGTTGGTGGTTACACCTCATGGCTTAACGGATAATTAGCATATTCCTCTCTTATATAGGATGAGATGCTGAAACTTGCTGCAAATTGGTAAAGATGGAAAAAAAACAAACAAACCCTCAGGCTTGGTGAAGGTATAAGAAATAGACACGCTCAGATCCTACAAGTGGGAACATCAAACCTTGTTATAAGATTAGAATAAGCAGAATTCTTTGAATAAAATGAATTTTATTTTATTCTTCAGTTTCATCTCTAAATAATCCATCTTCTAAGTTTCTACTTCCTGCTTTTTTCTTTCATGTTGGATGGGACCTTTTAAGTTTATATTCATTTTATCGGTAAGAAAACTTAGATCCAAAGTGTCATACAAACTTAATGTAGAACCTAGGTCTTTTGCCTTTTCCTCACATTTCATTTTATTCAAAGAATTCTGCTTATTCTAATCTCATAACAAGGTTTGAGGGTGAAAATGGAATTGCACCCATTTTCAATCTGTAATCTCAGGGTTTAGTGGTTTGGTGATCCCTCATCTAATCCTAAAAGAAAAGTTAACCTCCTTTTATGTACCAAGCACTTTAATTGATATACACAAGTGCGCTCACAGACACACACACACACACACACACTAATTCTTGTAAATACACCATTAATTTCTGACAATCTATTAAAGTAGTTTTTATTCTTTGTCTACAAGTGAGAAAACTGATGCTTAGAAAAATTAGGTAACTAAAAAATAAATAAATAAATAAATAAATAAATAAATAAATAAATAAATAAAAAATTTAAAAAAAAAAAAGAAAAATTAAGTAACTAACTTAAGTGATCAGAATCAGCCTCAGAACTGGACCATTCCCTTCTATCCAGAGTTGCCCACTACTTTTCACATACTGGAATATGATGGCATCAAGTACTTGTGATTCTAACACAGAAGAGATGGGAAACTTTTGTAAAATGTTTCTTGAAAAGATTAAATCATTGCAAAATGCAGTTAATAATTATTTCTGGATTTTACTGGTCTGTCACCTTGTATAATTGAGAATTGGAGTGTGAGTCTGTACATTTCAGTGTGAACTGGCCCAGAAGATGGGTTTTGCTTTTGTATCCAGAGAAGTCATTTTTCATGATTCATGAAAAATTTTTAGAAGTCTCTGTTCATTATATATTAACAAGTCGTGATATGCCAATGTGAAGCTTGAACAAGGTTTTGGATGTTAAAGAACCCTTTCAACACAGTTTCCTAAATTCACCGCCATCTTCTCTGCACTGCTCTTTTCCACCCATCCACCCACCCCCATGATACATGCCTCGGAGTATTTTTATAAAACCTTTAGAGAGAGGAAAGAATTCATAAAACGAAGGATACCAAGGCCAGTCCTTGAAGCACATGGAAGGCCTCCAGGCTATGATTTGTAGACTGTCAGCCTCCTATAGCCTTTCCTGTGCCTCTCTTTACACCCTGTTCTCAAGTTCTTCCTTTACAGTGACCAAAACCCCCCACAATGATAGCTTTAAATGTGATCTCCTCTAAGATAGCTCTACATTTTAAAACAATAGAGGCCTTAGTTAAAGCAAAGGAATGAATCTCTAGTGCATAGAAGATCTGGGTCCTAGTCCTAGCTGGCTATGTGGCATTCTTATCGTAAGCTCTTGAGCTAATTTTACCTGTCTGAAGCTGGTTTCTTCATCTGCAAATGGGAAGGCTAGTCGTTGGATAAGATTTGAGGTTCCTTCCAGTGCCAACATGTCTTTTATAATTTGACCATTGTTCACGGGGCCATGTCTGTGTGAGGACTTTTCCTCCTATGTTGATAGATATAGGCAGGTCCTGTTGGTAGCATGTGGAAGTCTAATCCAGGCTCTACCATGTGCCATCCATGACTTTGGGCAACTCCTACATTCTCACAGTCTCTGATCTCCATTGTCCTCAATTCTATGTTCTTTCCAAACCCAGGGTTTTATGTGAATGATAAATGAAAATCTCTGACATTAAATACTACAAATGTAAATGATGAATGTTGCTATAATGGTGCCTGGCGACCAGCCCTGAGAGCCTTTTCTTACTTCGAGAGTACTAGGAGTGAAAGAAACTGGTTTTGCACATTCCATCCACCTTCAGATGCTGTAGCCTTACTCTCACTTCTATTCTCTTCCTGGTATTACTTTGCCCCCTCCCACTCCCTGCCATAGTTCCAGGATTTGAGTATTCCCATGCAGCAGTGATTACCTATGTGAGTAGCCTGTTACTTTGAGGTTTGGTCAGAAAACAAGCATCTTACCCCATCTCTACTCCATTTCATCTCACCACAACACATGTATGCACACATGTGCTTTTTAATACTCTTACATACTTTTTGCTAATGGCTAATAAAATAATTAGATTCTTATTGAAATACTTGACTATTTCCAGTTGATCCCCTATTGCTTTCACCTTCCCAGTTAAGCTGAAAGACAGAGGTGTGACAGAGAGTAGTAACTAGAGAGAACCAAGAACTGGATACAGAGTTAAATAAGACACCTTTCCCACTTTCAGTGATGTTGTAAGGACTGCAAGCACAGAGTGCTCCGGAAGGTTTCTGTAATGTTGGGGTTGGGAGAGGCTTTGGGGAAATGATGATATTTAAGTGACCAATACAAAAAGTTGTGAGAAGGTTTCTGCATTTGACGGGTGAGGAGATTGGGTCAGAAGTTTAAGGAACTACCCCTGGTCACAGTGAGTCCCTGGAAGAGGCTACAGTTAAGACTCTGGAAGAATACTACTCTGCTGTTTGGCACCAAGATAAACTGCTGCATTTAACACAAGCAAGTAATTTTGGGTCTTTACTTTTTACCCATTGCTTTACAAAATTGCAAATATAGGAGTGCTAAAAGTGAAAGAAACAATTGTGGTTTTTTTATTTTTGTTTGTTTGTTTGTTTAAGTGAGAGAAGCTTTTGGAAGGAATAAAACAAAGCTAACGTTCAGAATAAAAATTTAGACTTTTGGGGAAAACCTTATTTTCACCTGTATGCTGAAAATTGTCAAAGATATTTTAAGATATTATAATAAAATGTTGTCAAATATAGTTTCAGATTAATACTGATGTGATTATACTGTATACTTGGTTAGTACCCTGAGTATTTTCCCCTGCTGTAGAGAAGCTTCTTCTTTACCTCCTTTCGTTCTTCAATATAAATCAGGTGTATATGAGGAATGTAGCATGTTATCATTTAATTCAAAGATAGCTACATGCCATGTACTACAAAAGTGGTAAATTGGTTTCACATATTAAGATGTCTTTTTCTGCAATGTGTTAATTATACCAAAGCAAATGATCTTGCCAAGACACTAAAACTCATTATTTCATCTGTGTAGTTATAGATTATGTAACTTACAAGTCACCTAAAATTTGATTTCTATCTCTCAATCAATACCAGCTTAGCCTTTACTTATCTCAATTTCTGATGGCCTAGAAGAATACAGATTCATCTCTAACAATTTAATTTTAGTTTTATCTTAATGGCATTTTATTTTGGTGATAGAAAATTGTTGATAATTGGCCTTTAACTGGGCAAGTTATAGAATTTATGTGGCCTCAGTCTTATAAGCAAAAGGACATATGAGTTATTAATTTCCTTTTTTCTACACAATTCTGTGATTTATTACTTTGTTTTAAGTTAATCCTCTAGTGTTAATAGGTTAAAGGTAAATGGATAGTTGTTGATGGATCAGGGTCAAAGGAATTATGAATCTTAGTGTGTATCACACCTGGTAACATTAAGTTGGCCTTTAACTGGGCAAGTTATAGAATTTATGTGGCCTCCCTTCTTTTCTCTCTAAAAAAATCAATAAAAACATATTTTTAAAAAGATTGATGGATGGCTCTGAAAAGATGCAAATAATTTTCACCCAGATAACATATAATAACATTAAGTTACCAGGTGTGATAAATCTGGTGGCTTCTGTTATCCTTTTGTTTCTTAGTCACAAGATATCAAAAGTAATAGCATGTCACAGACTCTCAGCAGACAATAAATTATTGTTGACATTGACTTGGGCATGGTTTATTATATCCTCTTGGTGAGTTATAAACCTTTTCTAAATGCAAGTAAAAAAAGAGAGAGAGATTCAAAACTGAGCCAAAAGGGATATGAATACACAAAGACATATGCATTTATTTTTTAATAGCAAAAAACTAGAAACACCAAACATCACCAACTAGTAAATGAATCAACAAAATGTGCATTTATACAGTAGAACACCACCCAGCAATAGGACAGAACAAACTACTGATACACCAGACAGAAAAACTGCATACATTATGGTTCCATTTATAGGATATCCTAGAGGGAAAAAGAGGGAGGGGACAAAGCTATCAGGACAGAAAACAGATCAGTTGTCACCAGAGTCTGGGGGAGAGGAAGACATTGAATAGAAAGGGGGCACATAGGTACTTTGTGGGGTGGTGGAAATGTTTTCTACATCATTATTTCAGTGGTGCTTCTATGAATGTGGACATTTGTTAACATTCAGCAAATTATACACTTAAAATTAATTACTTTTATTCAGTGTAAATTATACCTCAAATTTAAAAACTAGCAAACCTAGTCTTGAATGCCTCACAGAGTTGACTTCTTCAGTTAGGGAAATAATAATTTTTTAAACTTCAAACTTTGAAAGCCTACTTTTAACAATATACTAACATGACTTTTATGATGAATTGATACAAAATGTTGGCCCCTAAAATGTATTTGCATAGAAAAATGGAAAAAGATCAGCTTGCTTTAATATATTATTGCATTTTGCTTTCTCTTTACTTTTCTGCCCAACCTAGAAAAGCTAATTGAGGGACTCAAATCTCCTGACACTTCTCTTCTGCTCCCTGACCTCTTGCCCATGACAGATCCTTTTGGCAGCACTTCCGATGCTGTAATTGGTAAAGTCGTCATCTTCTGTTTCTTCAATAATGCATGATGTGTGTGTCTATTTCAAGTATATCTAACTGGTTAGCAGATCCCTAGTGAATAGCCCTGGTGAGGAATGGAAATGCCACCAAACCGCCTGCTGTTGGACGAGGCCTTGTGCTAACCCAGAAGCCGAGGCTATTTAATCTCCTTTGTTAGCACTTCAAATCAAGTGTTTTGTCTGTCTTTGAGCTGCACAACACTGTTATTTTTGCCTTGTTTTGATATCCTGAGAGTTCTAGAGTGATGTCTTATGAGTGAGGAAGAATGTGGGAAAATTCACTTTTAGTTACAAAAGCTTCACAGAAAAAGTTGGTTTCAAGCTAGACTCTACCTTTAGCAGTCTTTTTTAGAAGGCCTCTCTACGTGCCAGGTGTCTGGTGATGAAGTCTCAGTAGTAGAAACTGGGGAGAGGGCTTGGTCTGCTTGTCCTTACATTTCTCTGTGCTCCAACCGCAGGGCAGGCAGGACCTACAAAATGCCCAGGACCCCTATCCTCCAGGAGTGCAAAGTCCTAGAACTCAGAGAGGCCATGACCATGCGGAGAGATGGGCCTCTAGCTAGGGGATGGGATTAGAGATGGACTAGTGGTCTCTGTAAGGCACAAAGGATGTGAAAGTCTCCCACATTTATTCCTTGAGAAAAGCAAAATTACCAGAAGATATTAAGGTGCCTTTCAATCTGTTTTCTAACATGGAAGAGATCTTTTGGATGGCTCTTACTCTGTATTTATCTATAAAAACTGAGAATCACCGAGACTGGCCACGGTGGTTAACTTTGCACAGACCTGCTCAATCAGTGAAGCCCAGATACTCAAAGCAGCAAAAATAAAGTAACTTCTGTGCTTTCCAGCTCTCCTGAGACTGGCATTTTAGAAACCTGTAGGAGAAAGCCTTGACAGAATTGTCCAAAGAACCTCTGATTGCCTTTCCCTTACCCATTATTCTCCTTTCTTAACGCTCTGTTACAAAAGAAAAAGCTGATGTTGCTGTTGAGAGTCTCATACCAGGACTGGAGCCCCCAGTGCCCCAGCGCCTCCCATCTCAGACGGAGTCTGTGACCTCGAACCGCACAGGTCAGTCAGGAGTCTCTGCAGTGGCAGGGATTGCTTGATGTGGTGTGCTCTCAGAGCAGTCTTTCCACCCGACAGATGGTCCTGGGCTTAATTTGCAGCCTGGTTAGTTCCTCCCAGAAGGGATGCCCTGCATTGTTACAGTCCCAGCTTCTACATGTTGAGTGATGTGTTTCCTGGCCAAAAAGCACATTATGTTTTTGGAGTTCTTTGTAGAGTGATCCCTGGGCTTTCTCTGGTTACAGTCTATCTTTATTTAGGATTTTTCCACTGGTGGCAGATTCCTCCCACCTTCTTTTTTTTTTTTTTTTTTTTAATATATTTTATTGATTTTGTACAGAGAGTTAGAAACATCGATGAGAGAGAGTCATCAATCAGCTGCCTCTTGCACACCCCCTACTGGGGATATGCCCGCAACCAAGGTACATGCTCCTGACCGGAATTGAACCCGGGGCCTTTCAGTCCCCAAGTCGACGCTCTATCCATTGAGCCAAACGGGTCTCGGCTCCTTCCACCTTCTTAATTAAAGAACTCTGCTGAGCTGTAAGGATGCCTTAACTCCCCCAGGTTACTGAGCAGTCTCTCCCCTCTAACATGGCATCCATGGAGCTCATGTTCTGGATGTCGACACCCTGTTTCTAGCACAGTGCTTTAACCATATAGGTGATTTGCTTTTAAATTGTAGGCAAAGTTCAAATCTTTGTTGTTGCCAGCATTTCACCCTAATTTTTCCAACTCACTCTAAGTAGACTTCCTTAACTGCCCATAAATACAAATTTGATGACCTTCCTTTTTTTGAATCCATAATTACCTTGATAAAAACGTCCAATCCTAGCTAGGAATAGAAACAATTAGAAGTCTAGGAAGTATGAAAATTAGCTCACTAGGTTAAAATAATTTAATAGGGTTTCCTTTCCTTGTGCTGCTTGGCTATTTTCTTCTAGAACACTTTTCAGAAAATAATTCATGTGTTAAAATACTTGGACTCTGAATTTTGTCTTTTTTTCTGTTCTTTATCTAAAAGCAAAATTGTGTATTCAAAGGAGCAATTCAAGTTTAAAGAATACTATTAGTAAGGGGCAAGGTCATTCTATTTTGAATAGGAATCAGTGGTCTGGAAAAAACTGTTTAATCATGTCATATTACACTAATAATAAGCCAGAGACAACCCCCTTTTAGTCAAATTGGTCACCTCATTCTATAGTAATTTTTTTCCCATGAATGTTTAGGGAAGTTTAAGCGAAACTCTTTAGTTGAAAAGTTCTTTTTCCCAAATGGCATCTCCTGAAAACTGAGCTGCTAAGGTTTTATTGGCATCCAAATCACATATTTGCTTATCTAACCTCTGAGCAAAAAATTCTTCCATATTTATATATTAAGGTTAAGAGGAATACATGTTTCTGTAGATGAAATTCAGAATGTTTAACATGTCTTTTTTTGGTTTTCTTTCTCCTGCCCTGGCTTGTTTGACATGTAAATGCAATCACTTAAAGGCTAAGGTCTAATCTTGTGATATTGTTGTGCCATTTAATGCCATCACTGACCTGGGATGCTGTTAATCTGGACTCAGATTCTCTCACTGGGGAAGATTCCCTGATTGATTGCTCTCTGCTTTCTAACCCTACTACTGACCTTCTGGAAGAGTTTGCCCCCATAGCGATCTCTGCTCCAGCTCAGAAAGGTAAATACTTTCTTCTTCTTGGTCCCACAGGTGTCCTTAGAGGAGAACTGACCACCTGAAATTTTCTCTTACCAAAAGTCTTTGCTAGAGAAGTGTTTTAACCACCTCCTTATGTGCAAAACTTCAGCTGGTATTCTCAGCCACTGTATTATGGTCCCACTCAGAAAGAATATTTAATAAGGCTTAGACAACAGATTGGTGGAGCTAAATATCTTTGAAGTCAATTCAAGTATATGGTTGAGCTTATTAATCACTGGCTTTAATTATTAATATTATACTTGTTGGCCTCATAACTTAAAAATGTTTCATCAAATATGGTGTAACATTTTGGATAGTGAAAAACAGGCATCAACCCTCAAAAATTGAATTTGTAAAAGTTAACATTTGAGTCACAGTTACTTACAAGATTTCACTTCTTAGTCTTAGGTTAATACTGGTTTTTAATTCTGTTGGACAGAAGTAGCTTGCATTGAGTTCCATTCTGTGAGTAGTTTGTGAGTAGTTTCATTCTGTGAGTGATAGGCACAATGCCTGGCTTACTGTATGCAGGCTTTTATGCTTGAGTAGTGAATGTGATGTTCTATAAGGAGCAAATACATAGAAAAGGAACAGTTTAGAAATTTAAAAAGGAAGCGTCCCCAAGTTGACTGAAGAAATAATTAGCCTGTGGTTTGCAGTGGTAATAGCTGAGCTTTTGTTTTTACCCTTTATAGCATTCAACTGATTATGCTTTTATAGAACATGTAGAAAGAAGTTACCTGTTAGCCAAGTATGTCTGACAGGAGTGTGTCAGCAGCAACGTGTAATTATAGAGGAGCAGTACTTGGCAAAATAGGCGCTTAGCTAGCACTTGCTGGTAGGAGAGCCTTAATTAGAAGGGAGAAGAATATTCTAACAAGCTTCTGCTGGGAATCTCAGTGCATGTGATCTTGTGCCCCAATATTCCCTGAGGCATCAGAGGTATATGAAAGTCTGTTTTTTTCCAATCAAAGGGTAGTGAGTCCTCTCAGAAGCATTTGTTTGCATTGTACATAGCGGTTGTTTTGTTAGGAGAAACTACCCCAATCCATGTTTTTAGTTTTTCAGATATTGCTAGTCAGGCCTCTGTTCAATAAAGAAGGTAAATGACTAGTCTCTATGCTTTTGTGAATTACTCAAAATTCCTCACAGTAACAATCTTATAATAGCAGAGAGAATTCATATTATAACCCTTCTCCCTCATCATTTATGAAAGTCTTAAAATGGCCAGAGCTAAAACATTTTCTTCTATTTACCTAAAATTTCCAATTTTACTACATTTATTTCAACTCAGGAAAATAAGCATTTTTATCTTTAAAGACTGCATTGATTGAACAGTTGGGAACTCTGTGCCTCTTACATGTTCTCTCATTTGCTAATCTCTGCTTCTGTTGTTTCTGCTTGTGTACTTGCATTCTGTATTAAGCTGCAGAAGATAGTAATCTCATCTCAGGTTTTGATGTCCCTGAGGGCTCGGACAAGGTGGCAGAAGATGAGTTTGACCCTATTCCTGTATTGATAACCAAAAACCCACAAGGTAAGAAAGAGAGATTTGGGAAAAGAGCTTGACATCAGCTCTCTACAAAATAGTGATGTACCTTATTTACAAGGGGGAAAAAGAGCAACATTTAATGAAGGATATTGGGGATAATGACAATCGTTGTGGGCTGGAACAGCACAGATAGGTAGAGATACAGATACAAATAGAGATTCTGGTAGAGGTATCTTAAAGCCTGACCATGTGTTTCTTTAGAGAGAAGAAAAGTATTCGATAGTTTGACCAAAAGTTGCTTTTTCAAAGCATCAAGCCAAAAGTAAGTGATCTTTCAGTCAGTGGAAACCTGAAGGCATACATGAGAAAAAGCACCAAACATTTTTTATCATGATTAGAATAATTTATAATAATTTATTCTTCCCAAAGAGATTAACAATGGTGTTTTAATATAATTTGCATCTTTTGGATGTTTGTGGAGCATACGTTTTCCTCTTTGATGGAGTCAAATCATTTGAACATGCCACAAAATATACATTTTTTTCTCATTTTTTTATTAAGGTATTATATGTGTACATACCTTACCAATCCCCACCCCCACTCCTGTACATGCCTTCCCTCCCCAGAGTTTTTTGTCCATTGGTTATGCTAAAATATACATATTTTTTAAAGAATTTTTTAAAGCATGTTTTTATTGCAATGGTATTAATAACTGTTTTCTCCTCAAAGCAAGATTATTGATTTTTACTCTATCAGGGAAATGACGCTATGTTGTCAAGAAGTTAGTATGTAGCCAGCGGTTCTCATGCAAAATAAATATATTCATTAGAGCAGTGTTCTGCCTACAGGATGGTGTGCACACAGTGCCTGAACCTTTTGTGGGAGGTGGTGGATAGCTAATTTATATGTTCAAAAATCAACATGTAAGAGTTTGCAAATGTAAATTGTTGCTTCTGTAGGGTTTGGTTTTAGTTTGGTTTTTCTCCTTTGCTTGCTCTGCACATCTAACCCTTAACCCTCTGTTTTGTACTGAATTCCTATCTCTCCACTTCCAGGTGGGCACTCTAGAAACAGCAGTGGGAGCTCTGAGTCCAGTCTTCCCAACCTAGCCAGGTCTTTACTGCTGGTGGATCAGCTCATAGACCTGTAGCCGTGACCCAGTAGCAGATGCAGTTCTGTAACCTTCATACCGTAATATACATTTTCATTACGGAATTATAAGAAAAACGATTTTTTTAAAAAAATCTGCAAATAAGGGGCCCTCTAGGCCTTATCTCCTACCCCTTGCCTTCTCCTGTAGAAATAAGGAAAGAAAATCACTTTGGCCCTCCAGATATTTCTTGGCCAGTTCCTCCCTGATTGTTTGCTGTGTTTTCTCATTACCCTTCTTCAATAGCATTATCTTAAATCAAGCACTAGATGCCATGAGCTTCACCTCAGATGGAATCAACTCCACCAAAAGCTTAACTGTAACTGAAACTAGTGAACTGACACCTTTGCCTCATTCTTGCTAGGAATGGCCTCCCAAATCAATCCTCCCGACCCGTCTCCTTTGGCCAGATGCTGATGAATGTGTTTCTCTGCTTTCGCTTTTTATCCTGCTGCATTATTATGAAGACATGGCTTCTTCCGTTGGTCTTAACTCCAGGCAGTAGCCTGGAGACAGATGTGTGGTTTAAGTAATGGTAAAACTGACTGATGGTATATGTTTGAAAAGACAAAGTGGGCCCAGCTCTAGCCAAACAACTTTGACCTTGTTTGATCATAGACTTAGCCAAGGGATTTTACACCCCATGCAACCTGCCCAGCATTCATCCAGCATTCTGGCTTCCATTGAACCGCAATTTCTCAGATCGGGAGATGTGACTGCAAGTACTTGAGATCCTTGGATAAATGTGTACATGATATGAATTCCAAATATTGCCATTCCTTTTCATGTTAACCATCTCAAGCCGGGATCTCAGAATTAGACCAAAACAAGACAATGGTGATAATATGATACCTTTTATTAGAAGACTTTTCATTGGGGGGTGGCTGGGGGAGGGGAAGGAATTGTAGCAGAAACAGATGTATTTTTCTTGTGATTTTTATTTTGAATCAAATACTGTAAATTGTGTATAAATGAAGACCCTGAATAGTTCTGTTTCCACTTGGCGTTTCAAGTCTGATATCAGGTGTCTGTACAGGGTTTTTGATCTCTTTCCCTTGTATAACTTCACACTGCGATCCTACGGTGTAACATATGGAATCATTTTGAATAGACTTGTGCGTTGCTATAAGCTTTCAGCAGGTCTTCTGTCTTTGTAGAATAAGCATGTTGTTTACTTGCAGATAAACAGAAATAAGTGTGCTGACAAGCTAGGCACAATTTGACTGGCTACTTACCTTTCTTTCTCTCTGATGTTTGATTGAAGGATGCAGCCAAATGAAATGTTCAGTTGGTTTTCCTTGGCTTCCTAGATTGAAAAATAAAGCAAAGCATAGTTCCTCACTAACCTTAGGATATTGTTCATAAAATAAATAAAGGACCTTGCACTGACATGACAACATGCCTCATGGTCACCCTCTGTATATGTTCTTACTGAGTTAAGTGTATTTTTTTCTTACATGGAAAGCAGTTTTCTAACAATTACTCTTTTGAAAAGGTGGGCACAGAACCCCACTGTGGTTCTCTTCCTTGAGTGCCATTGTCCATGATCAGAGGGAAACTAAACTCTTAGTTGGTCAGATTTGTACAAATAAAATTCCAAGTCCATTTGCTTGTTTCTCTACCTGGTACTTTTGTTTCTTCCTCACATTTGCACTTTAAGGGAGGGAAAAAGAATGTTGAACAACAACAGACTGCAAAACACTGCATGCACTTTGGAGGTCAAGCTTTGACCTCAGCAGTGTGAGCACAGCCTTTGAAAGGCATCAGAGAAAAAGTGTGAATCTTTCAGTCTTCCTTCTGACTTGAAACACTTCCCATGCCAGCTGAAGTTACATGAGCTAAGTAAAGGCCTCTATGAGGATAATGGATCATTTCCAAATTGAGGAAGGCAGGCACAAGCCTTCCTGCTAAGGATTAAAAAAGACATCTTTCCCAAGCTCTTCTTGGTTGAATAGCAGTGAAAATGGGACTTGGCTTATCCCTTAATGGACAGGAATATTATTGAAGATGAAAATTGTATTCTTTTTCCTGGACATAGAAACAATGTATAAACTAATGAAGGAAATGTTTATTTTTAAAATAAGAATAATGGAAATTATTCTTTAAAATAAGAATAATGTTTTATGTTTACGTTTCTCTTTTTTTTTTTTCAAGCATATGTGTTAGAAATATAATGAAATATTTAGTTTCTTAAAACCCATGGAATGTAGAGTTTAGAAATTAGATGACTCTAACTTGTTTCTTTCATGTATTACACTAATTCCATTGAGATATATTATCTAGTCATCTGGTTCAATAGACGGTTAATGAAAAGAGCAGACTAGAAGCCAGAAACTGGATGGAGGAAGCCCGAGGGGGATACTGATATAAAATTCTTTAGGAATAGGGCCTCAGAGGGGAGAACTATTTTTCTGTGAAGGAATACAGTGAGTGAGCCATTAAATGGGGCCTTTTGATATATATATATATGGCATCATCCCTAAGCTAAAAGGTTTATTTGAGATGAGTGTAGTGTGCTGATAATTAATAGACTTAAGGAGCTATAAAAGTGACCTTAGAGGTTATCATCTAGTCCACCCACTTCACTTTACAAGTGTAGGATCTGAGGCAGGGTAGTGGGAGAAGAGGCCTGGGCAGGACAGAGCATTTGGAATCTCATCTTGTCCTCTGTCAGGCACTGTCTGATTTACCTTGAGCAGGCATATCACTTCCCAGAGCTGTCCTTGTTTCGACAATGATGGGTTTGGACTTCATTGTCTCTAAGGTTACAGAATTCTAGGGCTCTAGGTATATATTATTATGCTTTCGAAGGACTATGAAGGGTTTGTAAATCCTGATGTTCTTCAGTATTCTAATGTAATTCTTACTGTAGCAGAGCTTACCTATTAGAATTATAATGGGCTTTTACTAAGCTGGGTTGCCCCTTTTTGGTTATCTGAATTAAAAGCCTAAATTATGACAGAGTTTTAACATAGATGTTCCTTTTTTTAATATTACACACTCCCATGCATGCACACTCCCACACACAGAGTACAACAAAACAGTATCAAATTTCAGTTCTTTAAAAAAATATATATCCATGATCTGCTATATAAAAATGGATAAATACTGTAAGCATATGTGGTTTTTTAATTAGATATCTTATTTTTAAATTTATTATTTATTTTTCAATTATAGTTTATATTCAATTCTGTATTAGTTTCAGGTGTACATCAAAGTGATTAGAAAATCATATAAGCATGTGTTTTTGATTTGCTTTTATTCCAGTTGTGCAAAAGTAGAATACATCTCAAATTATTATTTTTTTCCCTTTAGGGCATTCTAATAACTAGATTGCCAAATTCAATTCCCAGTGTTTTTAAAAACATATCACAAGAGATAAGGCTTAAGTGGACACTTACAAATATGATTAAAAGTAATGATTATGTTAGCAGACAAAGCAGAATTTTGACATCTAATTGTGTGCTGTTTCTTGGTTTTAGTTGGGAAGCTAATCCTAATCCTAATCATTTAAGTTATTTTTGAAACTGCTCTCCTTAAAAATAATCTCAAGGAAGGCAATAAGGTATAAGAAAGTCAGTTATTAATACCTAATTGGTATCACTTTCAGCACCTGAAAATATGTTGTCTTTCTTAGTCTACTTTTTCTACCACTTTTGGTTCTGAGTGACATTTAGCTGTTTCCAAAGGCAAAATTACCACCCTGAGATCAAGAGTAGTTACTATTAAAGATAGTAAAGAATATAATCCACAGAACATTTCCAGAGAGAACCTTATTATAGAAAGGGACAATGACCATTCTTAACTTCCTTAATATTCTGAATAAGTGAACAACTGATTTGGCCTGTCTTTAGTGTGGTTTAGAAAATTGGAAGATACATATTAAAAATACCTC